GCAGCTGTCTGGTTCAGTGGACAATACAACTTGTTCTGTCTGGCTTGTTGTTGTGATTTCTAGTGCGATTCGCAATTTCCTATTCATTAAAAATTAAAAAAAGCACAATATCGTGTCTGGAACATTACATAACTTTTGGGTTCGACTTGATCCAATATCAGGATAATTAAATCTTATTGTTTTGCTTAAAAATGCTATTTTATATTTCAATAATAACTTTATCTTTTACAATTATATTTTGTTTTTACCTTTCTCAGTCGGTACCTCAAAAAAAAGGCAGAATGCAAAGTCTCTAAATCTATTTGGTAGGTGATGCGTCGGTCACTGATGCTGCTGAAGAAAATTAAATGCTAAGTGTATGGATAATTATTAAGTTTTGACATATATAAGTGAAGAGGACGTACTGATGCTCTTGAAATCCCATATATTGTAGGTTTCTTGAGAAAGCTGAATTATGGAAGTTACTGAGACTTGGTGATTGTGGTGGAAGGAGAACTGAAGTGAAGGACGTGCTTCTCCACCATAGCTTCCACAACACTGTCCATGTTCTCTACTTGGCCCCCATGACCTCACCTCATGACCTCACCCTTCATGAGCTCACCCTTGATGACCTCACCGTCCACAGCATCACTCTTAATGACCTCACTCTCCACGCTCACCACCACACATACGTAACTCACATAACAGACAACCAGTTGCCGAGGTCAGTATGTGTCTAATAACATTATTTCCCTAAGAAATGACTGTCTTTCCTTCTTGTGTTCTTAAAAACATCCGGAATAAAAGTGAAATTTCTACTGCCCGAGAGTCATAAATTTGTGACTTGGATTTCTTTTCCAGAGAGAAAAGTAGTAGCAATAATGTGGGCATCTGGTCTATATCTAATTCTTGAAAATATTAAAATCTTGTGATCTTGATAAAGTGTAAACAGAATTAGTTTTATATCCATAGATAATAAAATTTCTTCACATACTTTATATTTATTAAAAAGTAAATATTAATCAGCTGTATAATCATGTACTCTAGCGAGTGGAGGTGTGTGGGTGTACCGGAAGTGTTTGTACTGTAACAGAGGAGAGGCAGACATCCAGCTCCTCCACCTGTGGAACCTCACATCATTCACCCAAATCAAAGATGATTTATTTCAAGGTAATCACGAACTGGTTGGCTTATTTTAGACTTAAGACTCTCGACTACACGATGGTCATGTAGCTCACTAAAAAGAATATTTTATTCCCTAACGTTGTGAGAAAATTAATCTCTCAAATATATTGTATACACTAAGAGAAAGAATCTATTTCAATGCTAAAATACTATTTTTACTAGATATTCACACACATTTCCCTAACAACATTCACTCTAACAACATCTATCAACACACATACACAACTAACAACACACATACACATTTAACAGCACACATACACATCTAACAACACATATACACATCACATTACGAAACGAACTTATATAATTAAAAGCATCATCATTCAAAATAATAATAGTTATTTATGATATTATTACACATAACTTGCAAATTATATTTCTTTACCAGAGCAATTTCATAACTTCTGGGGCAAAAACCTGAAGATGTCAACCGTTCTGTACTTCCCCTTCATGGATTACACCCTAGAGAATAGTGAACCAGGAAGTACAGTGTCACTCAAGGATTGTCTTGATGCTAGACTTCTGTCTATATTCGCTAAAGCACTCAACACGAGGTAGATTTCTCTGTTTCTTTCGTGTTAATTGTGTGTCAGTTGAGTCAACTGTAAGAAAAAAAGGTAACGTAAATTATGTTAAATGAAAAGCAATTGAGGCTGAAAATATGTTTAGAAAGATATTATTTAAAGAAGTATCCATCTGATATATTTTGTGGATGGTGCTGTATGACTCTTAAGGATTTAGCGCTTCCACCGTGAATAAGACATTTAAAGTATTTTATTTCTTTGTATTCGTTATCAATAAAGTCAAATATTCTGATCCAATTCTATATATTTAAAAGCTAACTATATGTACATGCTGTCATTTGTTCTCCTTACTCATAAGTTTTCAGATTAGTGAGGCTCCAGACAGACAATATGGCATGCAGAAGAATGGCCGGTTCACTGGCATCACGGGACAACTGCAGCGGGAAGAGGCAGACATGGGTGGATCAATGGGACCGCTTGCTGAACGGATCCCAGCCATGGAATTCTTGTGGGTAATTGAAGCTGACCTGCTGGCCATCGTGTCTTTAAAGCCAACTCTCTCGCCACAACTTCTCTCGCTCTCTAAACCTTTTACAGGTAAGTAATTTGTAATATACTTAGTTACTTCCTTGATAAGAAGAGTGATTCCCTACATCAGCTGTTTTTACTAGCATATTTTTTTTTAAATACGTATAAAGCTAAGACTTAGACGAATGAACACAGTATACAAATGAACAGAGAATAATGGGTAGTTTTCTCTATGACAGTAGTACTATTTACAACACTCCTACATGAATATAATATCCAAT